GTGACATCTACCTTCGTTTCACGTGGCAGGCGTGGCACTTGGTGACATCTACCTTCGTTTCACATGGCAGGCGTGGCACAAACTCACATCTACCGTCGTTTTGCGTGGCAGGCGTGGCACTTATGGTACTGGGTGGCGCCCTTGGGCCGGGATTTGTCGCCTGTGACGCCCGGGGCGCCGCGCCACTTTGCGAGGGCGGCGTGGCACTTGGTGACATCTACCTTTGTTTCACGTGGCAGGCGTGGCACAAACTCACATCTACCGTCGTTTTGCGTGGCAGGCGTGGCACTCATGGGGCTGGGTGGCGCGCTTGGGCCGGTTTGGTCGCGGATGACGCCGTGGCACTTTGTGCGCGCTTGGGCCGGTTTGGTCGCGGATGACGCCGCGGCACTTTGCGTGGCAGGCGTGGCACAACCTCACATCCACCTTCGTTTTGCATGGCAGGCGTGGCACAATCTCACATCCACCTTCGTTTCACGTGGCAGGCGTGGCACAATCCCACATCCACCTTCGTTTTGCGTGGCAGGCGTGGCACTTGGTGACATCCACCTTCGTTTTACGTGGCAGGCATGGCACTTGGCGACATCCACCTTTGTTTTGTCACATACCATCTTTGTCACACACGACTTTGTCACACACCATCTTTCACACATCATCTTTGACACACCATCTTGGACACACCATCTTTCACACCACTTTGTCACACACCATCTTTGACACACCGTCACAGGCCATTTTTCACACACCATCTTTCATACACCGCTTTGTCTCACACCATCTTTCACCACACCATCCTTCACACACCACTTTGTCACACACCATCTTTTACGCACCGTCACAAACCATCTCTCACACACCATCTCTCACCACACCATCTTTCACACACCAACTTTGTCACACACCATCTTTCACACAACTTGGTCACGCACCAACTTTGTCACACACCATCTTTCACACACCAACTTTGTCACACACCATCTTTCACACACCATCTTTCACACACCGTCACAGGCCATCTTTCACACACCATCTTTCACACAACACAACACTTTGTCTCACACCATCTTTCACACAAATTTGTCACCCACCAACTTTGTCACTTACCATCTTTCACACACCATCTTTCGCGCACCGTCACAGGCCATCTTTCACACACCATCCTTCACACACCACTTTGTCACACACCATCTTTCACACACAACTTTGTCACACGCAACTTTCAAACACACCATCTTTCACACAACTTTGTCACACACACACACACCAGACACCATCTTTCTTTGTCACACCAGCTTTCACATACAACTTTGTCACACACAATTTTGTTTTACTTCTCGATCCTCCACCACCTCATTTGTCTTTCCTTCCTTCCCCATCCCCGCTACAACATTTGGTGCTTTTTATTGGAGGAAATTGTCTTGTGGGGTTATCCGGTCCTTTAATTTTCAGAGGGGTGGCTCAACCACCAACCAGTTATATATTCCAGATATGGAGAATCAGGTTTGGGTAAATACCTACCCCGCCCTACCACCATGACGACGTGACGATCTGTGACGACGACTGAGGTGTTGTGGATTCACGTGGGCGTCGTTTGGGCGGTGACTGTTCTTACCACCCGCTCTTTGGCAGCAGTGAGTTCTATATCTCGGGCCTTCAGAAATCAGGGGATTACCCTCTGGTTATGACTAACATAGCCATGGGAATGCCCATTTATAGATGGTTTACCTAGCTATAAAATGGTGATGTTCCATGGGCCCTACGTTAAATAACCAGATGGTACTCTCTGAATTTACATCCCAATCTAAAATCTGTTGCCCAGCCAGGTGTTTCTGCGTTTCAAGAAAGATCGAAAACTTGGGGAACATCGTTTTGTAAAGATCCTCATGGCAGTTTAGATCCCCAGCTTCGCAGTGTCGTGAGGTTCCCAGAGATGCCGCGTCAGTTTTGTAAACATGAAATAACCCACAGATTATATGAGATGATATACCACTGTCATGATATAGATATCAGTTTATTATAGTTTATTAATGACCCACTACTATAATCATGATATTGATGGTGCTCAATGAACCCGTCAACCAGAGAGCCGACTGTCAACCTCTGCAACGGGTTTAACGGGTATTTTGTCACAACGGTGTTGCGGCGGAGAGGTGAATCGGTAAATAACACAAGGGTGGATGTAACTTGCCAGTACCCTCTGGTTATTTAACATAGCCATGGATAATGGCCCATTTGTAATGAATTTTCCCATTAAAACCTCCATTTATAAGGGATTTTCCATGGCTATGTGGCCCATTTATTATAGATGGTTTACCTATTAAAAATGGTGATTTTCCATGGCCATGTTAAATAACCAGATGGTAATTGCAAACTATAAATAACAAGCCCCGAAGAACTAAGGACCAACGGTCGTTGCAAGGTAGTGTTGCCTAGTTATAGTATGTTGGTTTATAAACCCCAAAACTCTAGCCGACTTCTTTTAACCAACTTCGCAAACAAACTTGGGCAACACTTTGTCTCTGGTGAGTCATAGTTACAAGTTGTAGCTAAGCTGGCTGATAGCTTACATAACTAGGCTTTGTGGTAAGCACTTTTTTGCACCATAAACAGAAAACTGGGATAAGCTGGGTTTATACTGTAACTGTAACCCGCAACCTGGGTTTCCCAACAAAAAGATGCAAAAAGTGTATATAGCACATTATAGCATCACTTAAGTTAGCTAAGTTGGATTTCCCTGGGTTTACCCAAGAAATACAACTGTGAAGTCGTGGAGCGCCTTGTGGATCAGGCACCCTCCAAGCCGCCATGCGCGATTTCGTCCCGGTGCGCTACCGCTGGCTGCAGCGCATGGCCTTTCCACAGTGCACCACGGTGCTGGTCCGGAGACCCAACCCAGGGCGTCAGAACCGGGCCATGAAGGTAGCTGCAAGCGTTTCATAGCTGGCTTATACCCAATTTTAGAATTGGGTTTTTACACTGGGTTTACTGGCTTATACTCAATATCAAAACAGTTTTAATATGTTAAAATAGTTCTATTAGAATTGGGTCTTTGTTGTTATACTGAATTTAGAACATACATCAGGTTGTATTAGAGCTGCGGGTGTTACTGACTTCTGACCCCAAAAAAGTTGTGTTTTCATGGGTGATCCGGGAGGTGGATGTGTGTTTCTTCACAACATGTGAACAGAATATGATGAAATGATGAAACTGATTGGTGGTTTCCAACATTTGGATTATTGTTCCATATATTGGGAATTTCATCATGCCAACTGACTTTCATATTTTTCAGAGGGGTGGCTCAACCACCAACCAGATAAACGATGGGATGGTTCGGAACATTTTCGCCCTTACCCACTAGTATTAAGGCAACATCCCCAGACCCCAGACGGGATCCCCTGGGGTTACTAGTCGACGTTTTTACTGGGGGGTTGAATGATTAAAACATCACATGAACATAGAACTGGTGGATTAATGTTGAGAACGGCCCCCCCAAAAAGTGATGTTTTTGTGTCATTACATGTCCATAACAATAATTGATAGTAATTATATATATAATATACGGAGAAATAGAAAAAGACTCCTGATTGAGGAGTGATCCAGGTCAGTTTGTTTCAGATGGCTATAGATCAGCCGGTCAGCCCTCCGCTCAAGTCGGGACAAGCACTTGACTTGGGGTGCAGTTCCACGAACGGTTCAGGTTTTGTGGTTTTGGACATATACCCTCTGGTAATTTAACATAGCTATTGAAAATGGCCATTATAGTGAGTTTTCCCATTAAAAATGGTGATTTTCCATGGCTATGTTAGTTTACCAGAGGGTAACCATATTTGTGGTTATCTTAATTATATGGAATTAATAGCCATATATATATATATATGTAGAGAGAGAATTATCTCCGTAAAAATATTCCCAATTGCATCAGCAAACAAAAAAAACAGTCAAGAGCATTACAATGTCCATATGTTTGGGGTCCCATCATGTCTCATCTTTCTTCTTCGAAGGATGGGGATGCAGTGTTCGCTGACGTTCCCAAACAACGATCCTGCCCCATGTGGGTTTTGTCTGCATATAGGGATAAACCAAATTTTCAGAATCATAATTTTCCAATGAACGGCATGTACTCTTTTTCAGACACACCCAAATAAACCATGTCTCATATCACCACTGATGTCAACCCCGGATTAATAAACCATGGTTTATTAATTAGGGGGTACTCCTCCAATAGTCATAATCTAATACTGACATGGTACCCTCCCAAGTAAACAGCTGTTTGGGGGTTTATTAATCCAGGGTTGACATTAGATCTCTATTTCTAGCGGATTTTCGACATGTTCAGATGCCCCAAGGTCGAAGGCATTCCCGAGACGATGTGTTCAGACCTGCGCCGCTTGACGGCATCGGCATATCTAGGAGGGTACCTCAGCATGTGAATGTTTAGATCTATGGATGGGGCCCCCACTTGTTGGCTAAGTTGGTGAAAAAAAGTGACTTAACTATACTGAAAACTATGGTGACAGTGGTAGAGATTAAAGGCTTTTGGAAAGCAACTCCAAGACATCACTTGGGGGCACCATCCTATAGCAAGCCACTGGATTTTCACATTTTGATGAGTCCGTGAATGGAGGGATTTTTGCTTATGGAGGAGTAGATTTCGTGCTAAGCATCCCGTGGAGCAGATTTCCTGGAAAGTTGTGCGGAGAATTTGTTGCTTA